GCTTTATGGGTCATAATCGGTCTTATAGTAAAACGGTATTATATAAAGATGAATATATTTAAAATCAGTACACGAGCACTGCATGAAACTTTCGCGACCGCTTCTATGCGGCGTAACTCGGCGCCGGCGCTCACCAAATGACAAACTCAGTTTTTAAAGCGAGCAAAAAAAGGCTGTGGGCTAAAAAATCTAACCAGAAAGACAGAAAAAATATTTGAAAAGAACACCAGCAATGGAGTGATCAAATGGAGAGAAATTAATTTCTGAAGGCCGAAGGAGAAATCCTGGCGACAAATGGACCACATGGAACGGAGCATGAAGGTTGTCGACGCCATGACAAGCCTTCCGACCGAGTGATCTTTGGAGACCAGAGGCTGCATTCTCGAAATTCTTCTTACGGTGATCGCAATTTCAACAACGATGATCGTAGGCTCAATGTTACACATCTGCGATGGCCAGGTGTGGTAAAAAATTTAATGGAAGATTCTTATACTACTAAAATATTTTTGGGTGTGAGTACCTTGCGCCAGGAAAGAGTGAAACGATCCAACGATTTTTTCGTTAGTTAGATTTTAATTCGCAATGGAGTTGCGCCGAGAATCGATTAACTTGTATTCAGAATTATTTGGTAATTGAATTTAGTTCTGTTAGCAAGCGTTATACGAATGTGCATGTCCACAATTATTTACATTAAAAGTTTATAATTCCCGTGGAAATTATTTTCTTTCGTGAAACAACTATCTATACCTACCCGTTTAATAAATGGATTCATCCTAGATTAAAAAAGTACAAATGAAAGTAAACTATGCTTGACTGAGGACAATATGGCAATTTTCTACCCCATTTATACCTACCTGTATGTGGATTAAATACTAAACAAGTAATCTACAGGTTAGCTAATACTGAAATTAAGACGTAGCTGTAGATAAAGTGGAGGAAAGAATGCAACATATGTGAAAAAAAAGTTGTGTAGAAGACTGAAATTGAAACTGTATGCACCTTGCCGATGATAAGGGGCCAAAACGAAGAGAGTAGCTGAGGCAATATTTAGTGACCAAAAAGAAGAGAGTAGCTGAGGCAATATTTAGTGACCAAAACGAAGAGAGCAGCTGAGGCTACGGCTGTGTAACGGTCGTGCAGTGCACGACTGTGTGACAGTCATGTTATTATTTCCGTGCATGCATTAAGCAAATTCTGTTCTTATTCCCATTATTAATCCCACTCGTTCTGAGAAACAGTCGTTAATTGAAATGACGGAGTGTGTTTCATTGAAAAAGTGCAAATTCGTTGGAAAATCCAGTCGAAGTTTCTGTTTTGATGAAACAATAAATGGTGAAAATATATTTGTGACGATGAAACATTCGATTCCATTTTCAATAGCAATATAATAAATTAAAATGAATTTACTCGGGAAATGTAAGTAAGGTTTAAAGTTATTCTAATGCTTTTTAAAAACGCGAATAAATCGATAAATTGCAAGCTAACAAATGTTCCAATTCTTTAGAAGTAACGTGTCACGAAGCAAAATTTCATATCGTGAGCATTACATTTGATTTTTACGCCCATTCATATATTCACGTATATCTAGGTTTATTAATTATAAATTTTTAAGGAAAATTACGCATTGCGAAGCAAAAATGCTTTGTAATGCGTATCCGGAGCATACGGAACCAAGCGATAAGCGTAATATGGCGCGCGACAAATCCTGCTCGATAACTGTGAGTCAAGGCATTGAGTCATTGAGTTCCAAGTCTTATTGAAATAACATCGTTTGGTCAGGCCGCTCTATCGTTGACATCAAATAATAAATGAGAACCTCTCTCGTTCATATATGTTCTTTCATACGAAGGTTCGTGTACATAGTTGTTCTTAATACGAAGGCTCGTGTACTTAGTTGTTCTTAATACGAAGGCTCGTGTACATATAGTTGCATGTGCATCACTTCATCTATGCATGCATGTGATGCATTGGATGGATTGCATAATACATATGATGGATCGCAGAAATGCCATTTATGACCTTGATGCGTAATTACAAAGATACGAATGGGACTTGATTGCTACTTCGAAGGTTGTTAGCATCGTTTTCGCTTATAATTTCAACTATAATACCGTCCTCCAAGATGGCAATATCGTCACGTGAAAGATAAGGATCTGTACAGTTTTTAACTTGCTTTTATAATATCACCCGTTCTACGGCATGTAATTCAAAATCGATGCTCATGAGTGACCGAAAAATTGAAATATGCAAAAATAATTGTTTTCATATTTTAGGTGCAATTCCTTCCTACTGAATTAATGTCTTCGGTTGGAAGTCTTTCCGGACTTGTGATGTCTCTACAGCATGATGGTTGAATAAGAAGTTACAAGCATTTAGAACATGATTGTTTGTAATGAGGCTACATGCGTTCAGTACAGCGTAGTGGAGAACACGAACGTGAAGACTGAAAAATAATGTTATCTGTCTTTGCCGAGATGATTATTATAAATCGGCAGAGTATTAGGTCAAATTGTTCACTAATATGGATACTTGATTTAATTTTCCGTTCATTTCTTTCCCTTATACACAGCAGAAAAGTTGCTCTAATTACAGCAACTTGTCGAATAAATGGTAGGAAAATTTAATTTTAGGCGGATCGTTATAAGGAATCGATCTGAATTGATCGTACTTGATATTTATTGCATTTCCGTATTTTAGTAAGTTATACTTCGGTGATGGAATAAATCGTTTTTTTTTTATATCAGAACTGATCAGTATTTAACGTTTCATCAGATCATACAATGGTGTTGAAATCAATCGATCCTTATTATTGAAACATTGCATTCCAGCAGTTTGTCAGAGGGTCCTTCGGAGTTGAAACAGATCGCTCTTATAATATATAGTATTTTAGATGATCGTACTATGACGTTGAAACAGATCGATCGTTGGTATTGAAACTGATCGAATTTAAGTGGTTCAACAAATCGTACATCATGCAGTATTGAAAAATATCGCTCGTCAGTATTGAATGTGATTTAATTTTAGTATTTTAGCTGATCGTACAATGGTGTTGAAACAGATCTATCATCAGTATTGAAATTGATCGCATTGCAATATTTTAGCATATCTCAAATCAGGTTTGAAACAGATTGCTTTTTGGATTGTCAGAGGTTAAACTTTACAGTTACACAACTTAAAACAGCTCGGACGTCGTTATTTAAATACTTCATTTGAGTTTGACTGGAAATACAGAAAAAATGAGAGCGCAGACTAGCAATAGTCAAGGCCATGTTCTATATAGAAGAGTTATTGACACATCCCGTTAGTTGACGGCATCTTTGATTCACTTTTAGAACTTTGATGTCACCGCTTTGATGTTTATATTGACGCGCCGACAGATATTCACAGTTGAAAACATTGGCTGGCTTATCGGTGGTCACTGATATTAGTCCTTAGATAATGTCACAAAGATTTTCTAGAGTGAAGGTGTCAGTGTAACGAGCATGTCAGGGAAAAATCCACGTTCACGTACGTTATCGGGAATCACTATCGCTTTGGGGTGTGACAGCTACACAGCGATGATTCGCCAGTAGAAGTAAACGTGAAGAGGATGAAAAGTTTGATTAACTGAGATCGTCAGTGCGACGTACTTTTCCCACTGTGAGTGATCTAGATAGGAAATATTGCCATAATTAGACTACTAAAGCAGCTATTCTAGATACTAAAGCATCCTAAATACTAAAGCAGCTATCCTATAGATGACGACTGAGAAAGTAGCCAACCTTGAGAGGAGGACAGATACAGTAGCCAACCTCAAGAGGTAAACAAGGAGTCGCTAACATCAGGACGAATATTAATGAAGAAGTCTATTTAAAGTTTGACCGCAAAAGTAACAAACTAGAGGGGACAACAAACAAAGCAACCAATCTAGAGAGGAAGATCACGAAAGTAACCAACCTAGAAAAGGGGATAAATAAAATAAGCAAAGTGATAGACGAGCGAAGGAATTGTAATTCATGATATGAACCGCATACCCTTTGTGATTATTTACTTTGTTCAAAAATCCTTTCGTGAGTATAGAACCGACGTTTTTTCACTGGTCGCACTTGAGAAACGGGGCTACGGAAGAATAGCTATGACTGGATTTAATTACAATTAGGCATTCCATGTAAATTGTTCAATGCAATGAAGATAATATCTCGGTGAATCAAAAAATTGTTGTTCAGTTTTTCGTGACCATACATAGTCCTGACAGTAACATTCGGGATCGTCCCGTAACGTGTACATAGGATAGTTATGGTCAATCCAGCTCCGACAGTCTTACTGCTCAGATACCACAACTCAATTCAACTCACCTCTTCAACTCATTCAATATGTATCAGCTCATAATGCATTGTCAATAATATATAAATAAAACGTTCGTAATTTATCGTCAACTGCAAGAACCTAGGTTTAGTCAATCCTTATCCATCGGCCACGCAGTAAGATCATTATGAATGTTTCTTATAGTTGTTTCAGTTGAATATAAACTCAAGAAAGAGTCATCCACTATAACGAATAATATACACGATGAATATACCAAAACAGAAATAATTTATTATGTTCAATAAGCTTACCGCAGTAAATATTATGCAAAAATTGTTTCCTGCACTCCCAACTGGCAAGATAACTGACGAGTGCGGCAGGTGTGTTTTTCATGATAAAAGTCTGTCGGTGTAGATTCGCCCCTCGTCGAAAGTGATTACCGGTTGATCAGCCGTATAACGCGATAATGAACACAAGATGAGGCAGGAGTAACCTTCCTATCTACTGATAAGTCGAGGCAACAATAACAAAGTCACCAGATATGCACCAATGTAACATGCACGGGCCTTTACAAGTAAATGCCGCATATAAGATCAGCTTTAAATTTGAGATGTTTAGTGCAGCTGAATAAATGCGGTATAATTAAAATGCCCCATGAATCAGTTGCCATTTTATTTACGCATTTTTATGTCTTAAAATTGGGTAGTTTTACTCACCGAGCATTTTGGAGAGATCAGCATTGTGCAGATCAGGATTTTCATCGGCCAGCTTCTTCCTTTCAGTCTTGGCCCAGACCATGAAAGCGTTCATGGGTCGCTTGATACGCCCCAGCTTTTTGGAGCGTTCCCCCCCTCGACCAGCGTCCCACCTTTGGCCGCCTGAGGGCGGTGGGTACGGCGGAGTTCCTCGAGCGTGGCTTTCTGCTGAAGACATTTGGTAGAGGAGAGGTCCATTCTGGGCCGCCGTGTAGCGCAACGAGTTCTGGTGTTGCTGAAACATCTGCTGACCTCCGAGGGAGGGATTAGTGAAAGAGGAATACGGGTGATTACGAGACAGGTGGCTGTAGCTGAGGGTGCCAATGCCCCCCACATCTTGCATGAGAGGGGACGAGCTTATCACATCGGAGTAGTCGTAGACCGGAGTGATGGATGATTGGTCAGGAGACTGCACCGTGAAGCTTGCCAGACTCGTGGCTTCTGAAACGAAAGAGAGAAAGGACTTTTAGTTACCTGAGGGACTTTTGAGAAAAGTAATTATTTGAAATTTTGATATGCCGACATTGAAATAATGTGAATAAATTCTTGCAGTATAACATAAGATCGAAGGAAAAGACTGTACAATACTGACTTACTTCGGAACACATCGACATCAGCTAAAGATAGACGACTATCAACTAATCTTCTTAGAAATTAAAGCCGGGTTAGGAAAACCAGAGTAATGCAATTTGGCAAAACCGAATGGAGTGTTTTTGTTTCGACCTTTTTGCTATCATTTTCAATTGCTCAAGTCACTTCAATGCAACACTGAGCAATTGGACTCGGATTAAATTCAAGTTTAATATCAAATGTTTTTATTTTAGCGAAGTCGATCAATGAAATTTTTATTACACAAAAAAATATTTGGTTGATTATTCGAGTCAACCAAGAAGTTAGTTGACTATTCATGTTTCACAGCAAAGTTTAGAATCTTTCTCAACTTCAAAGCGATCACTACGGTTGGTCCGAAAAGACAACATTGCCCGCTCTGTTTTTTGTTATTGAAATAATAATAGTAAATTTTGAAATTTGCATCTAAAATCTGCATATTCAAATTGCAGCGACAGTTTGTTCACAAAGTGCCACTGATAGCCACCTCATGGGGACATTAGTGGAGTACTTGTTGAGTGATCGAAGCGTGTGTCCACTGAGGAATGATAGACGCTGATAAGCTCAAGAGTTGTGGTAGATAACAAGAAGACGTTACGCGAACCCCAAGACAAATCGTGGGAACCAGGCAACTATAACGTAAACGGACGGTCACGTTGAGTTATGAAATATTCAAATCTTCAATTTTATCGGCAGAAACAATAGCAATTGTTTCGATCCGAAAACTAAATTCTCGATTTATTGGTCAGTTTTATTTAAAAATCAATGCATGTAGCTCAGTAAGTCATATTTTCACATAATAATACATAACATTTACGAAAAATTACATCTATTAAATGTAAAAAATTGCATCAATTATGAAAAATTAAATTTGTTCAAGCTTGGTACTTTAAAGAAGCTTTATTAGGAAATTTCATAAAGAATTTTAGTGCAGTAACGTTTGAAATGGCTGTTTCCATTGACACCGCCGCTATTCCGGTTATCGTCAGATGTAACAAGAAACTATCAGGAGCAAAATACTGATGGTGCTACACCGTGTTATTACTGCAGTAGATATTCCGATACTTGCTAGTGAACGTCACGACGGCCCACACGTTACGAGAGAATGTCACACGTTACGAATAAACATAACGAAGACGTTACGAGTGAACGTTAGGATGACCCACTCGTTACGAGAGAATGTCACACGTTACGAATGACATTAACGAAGACGTTACGAGTGAACGTTAGGATGACCCACTCGTTACGAGAGAATGTCACACGTTACGAATGAACATAACGAAGACGTTACGAGTGAACGTTAGGATGACCCACTCGTTACGAGAGAATGTCACACGTTACGAATGAACATAACGAAGACGTTACAAGTGAACGTCACAAGGACCCACAAGTTACGAGAGAATGTCACACGTTACGAATGAACATAACGAAGACGTTACGAGTAAACGTCACAAGGACCCACTCGTAACGAGTGCACGTCACTGCGATCTACAATGTTGACCAGTCGCCCCAGCTATGTTTGCACTCACTTATTATCTGACTGCATCATTCAATTTGTTATCGAACTATTCCTCGGCAATAAATTGCTGTGCAACAGAGACCAACGTACTTGTTTCGACGACTTTATTTATCCTGGCATTGGAGGCTCACAAAATAACGGTTGGTGTAAACATTCAAGAAGATGTTGCGAGTTTAAGTGGTGGTTGTGAACAAGAAGGCGTTCTGATGGCACCATTACAGCGATCATTTCTCTTGTTAGTGTGTAGGTTGGAGCTCAAAAAAGATCGATTCTAAAATGAAATGAAATTCTATAGCAAGAAAACTTGCACTGGTACAAATAAGAAGTCAAATATACCAGTGTGATGAGCAAACTGAGTTTGTGTAGTATTAGTTGATGGAATAAATCGTAACTATTGTAATTTAGATGTAGCATAAATATTGTGTGTGCGTTGTGCAGTTGCAAGTTATAGATTTATTTCGCTGGAAATAAAACCTCTTGAATTATATTCAGGCTAAATTACATTAGAACTTAATTTTTTCAAATGTTACGGGAATAATAACACGAGGAGCAAAAAAAAAAAGATTTTGAAAGTTGGGAGAATTAAAATGACCTGTAGCACGATAAATGCTCCTGATCGTAATTCAAGACTGGATTAAATTAAAATGAAACACAAATGCATACCTCGATATAACTGCGAGTTTCCTCATTTTATTAGACGTGAATTTATTAAGAAATTTTCGTACACAATTGAATTAAAGACATCTACAAGCGCCGGCAAGGCTGTTATTTGTCCACGGACTATTAAAAGAACATCATTTCTAAAATATAAAGTAAAATGAGACTTTGCCGTGAGACATAGAGCGAACATAAAGAAAATGAGAGCGAGAGACATTGAGCGAACTTCTGCTTAAAAAGGGGTCATTCCCCATGCAAACAGTTGCATTAACACGTTAAAATTTGTTCGTTATTCAATAACATTTATTGAATGTCTCCACTACTCAGTTAGTATCTGGACTACGCTGAGCTCACGTAATCATAGCATTCGTCACAAAGACGCATCGATTTGTTTCGGTTTTGACGAATACGTCGTTTGATCAGGAGCCATTGTTTCTTTCGTAGCCGTCATAGCGCAATCAATTTCCATACGCAACCCAGCCTGACTGCTGCGGCATATGTAGCTTATAGATGAGTGCCCAATTACTTAAGCAAGAAGAGCTGTCATAATATTGACTTATTTAATTAGGTGTGTCAACGGAGTCAATGGCCTAAGTGGAGAGATCATACGATGCCATTTGTCACCATCTCCGATCGACCTATACAGCGCATGCAGTACAAGGTGGTAGAGAGGGAGGTGTTATTCCAAGTGTCGTAAACCTTTCATGCACTCGATTTACACAATAGCAGAATTCGATAACATGATTCCAAATCTTGAAACGAATTTAAAGTCTTGTAATGTAAAAAGGTCATTCTCCGTTCATTATTGAGAAGAGGGACGTTTTTACAACACTTAAAAGTTAGATTTTAAAATGACCTAAGTAAAAACGTTGGTTATGATAGACGTAAGTTAAAAATGTAAGCAGAGAATTACTAGAGTAATTAAGTTACTTGTTTAGAACAAAACCCTTAACCTTCATTATTGCACATGATTTCTATATTAGCAATACAACATTTTATACAATTATTTCCATTCTTTAGGCGGTCAATATGTACAAACCCAGAGAAGATCCACCAGTGGAAGTGCTTGTGGCGGAACCTTGCTCCATGTCAGAGGTGGTACAGCTCATGGCACAGTCTTATTTTACGAGGTGTAAACTTAAACTTTATGGACTCCATAGATCTGCTCTCGTAGCCAATTAAGCAAGATGTGTCGAGTTCCCAGGGTGGCATTTGCATGAGGTGCTGCTATACAGATCGCGAGGTAGAATAACAATAATATAGAATGATGCTAGTACCCTGCTGAATACCGCACAACTAATTACTAGTTTTCTTTTTGTCTGTGCCCTGAGCCCAATTTTAATTGGTATTCAACTGTTATTATATACTGTATAACATTTATTTGCTGTATAGCTTACCGAAAAATCAAGATCGACTGAATGGTATACTTCAGGGGACTATTATCCCCCGAAAGCAACGGAGCGCTATTTCGATTAATTTAGCTCGACTTTTGCAAACTGTACTAGATGCATTATGGCTTCGAATGAACGAAGACTGAAATTAATGATGACAAGGAAGAGACAAGGAAAAAATCTGAATCTTAATACCTTGTACAATATTAATTACCTCTGCAAACTTTACCGATTTTTGAAGTTTCCCGAACGGAGTCATGAGGTCAAAACGAAATATTTTGCGTATTTCCTTACTCACGCTGAATGGAACTGTGATCCTAAGTAATGCTTAGGATTAATAAAAAATTCTTAAAGCTGCACCTCTGACCTCAAGAAAAGACAGGAAGAGAAGAGGAATTCACGAAACGAGTTTCAAGAGACATCGTGAATAAAAATCAATTAACTGTGAACAAAATATTTTCGAATGCAGCCGCTGAAGAACGAAACCAATTAAAACTGGTGCTCTACCAAATATTGCGTTACTAATAAGTTTATCCGCGGGTGTATTGACACGCACACATAACAGGACCAGTTTGCATTTATTAATCATATAGATACTGATTCGACTAGAGCTGCCTGGCGACGACCCCGTGAACAAGCTACGTATGCAAATCATTGTCGAGAATTCGTAACTCGCCGTCGAAATGCGACTCTGCAGACGCCACTTTTATATTCAATTTTGGTGGAGTAAATTGGCGGTGGGTAGTGGGATGTTGAGTAGTCATACGCCATATTTCGCGTTCATGGCCAGCCCCTGCTGTGACTCCAGAGGTGCTATGAAGAAAGTCCCACTAGAGCGGGGCTCAATATAAGAGAATATCTTGCGATGCTGCGTGTAACTCAGCGAACAAACGTACAAAATCAATTAAACTAAATTGTTGTTCATTATAAATAATTTCAGTCACTTATGTGGTGGTCTTGCAAAGTTTTGATTAGATTTTAAAATTGGTGCGTAACGAGAATTATGTGTATTAGTTTGTATACTTTGTATCCGAACAATCTCCCAGAAGAAAATGTACTAGAGCGATATATATGTTATCAATTTAATCAAATTATGTATTTTCGTTATGAAATCTTGTCAATCATAATGAACACCGATGCTCTAATGGGAGCCATGTGCTTTGAGCACAATAGTACATCTTTTATTGAAGTAAACGTGTTACGAACGAAGAACTAATATATAGTGGGCGCCTAATGAGCAAACACAACCTACAAACAATTGCTAATAATCCCTTGTAAACAAACACTAGATGAACTCAATATCGTTTCTAGTGCATTCACTAGAGAATATTTCGTCGTTTCTTGATTATCTTTTGATCGAAGTAAATAATAGCATCGACCAGCCGACTCATCACCACCACATTCACGACGCACAAGCCTTTGAATTGTCATATGACAAGTCAAGGTCTTGAATACACAAGAGGAATAATGATGCAGCAGTTCTTAATACAAAGTTTGTCTTGAGATCATTAGATAGAGCGGGAGTATGCACAGGGTAGAATTGGACGGTAGACGCGTCGAAATTATTTTTTGCTGTACATCGAATGAAAATTCTGATTGTAAATAACCACGAGAAGCGAAATTTGCGCTTTTGGCTTATGTATTTCTTTAATGAATCAATTAGACTTTCTATGGGAGATCATTCGCATATCCATCAAATGTTGATTAATAAAAAAAATAATAAACCAGAAAAGTAAAACTTTTCAGTGAAGTTTCTGGGGTAACTTATGCGATTCATTGCCTAATAGTATCCTCCAAGAATGTTCAGAATTGATCATCGATTGCCTGCGTGAATAATATCTTGCCAATATAACTCACGATTAAGGGAATTTTTACCCAAATTTATCTAAATACAACATCGTCATCGGATGTTACATCCAGGCTCACAATTTTAGATCGCCACTTTTATTGTCACAGACCTTCGAAGAATCGCAACTGGACAGACAAGTCAAGTTAAATAAATTCGGGACTACTTAAAGATCAGGCTGTAATGATGATAATAATGATATAGAAACTACATTGATAAGGAAACAAGGATCCACAATTTTTTTGAAGCGAGGATAGCTGAATTCCGAGTCATTATGTACTTGTCTTTGTTTTTATGTTCATAGCAGTCCGGCTATCGGATTCATGTGCTGCAACTCCACGGATTTCACCGCCACAATTTCAAATAGTCCTTGTTGCCTCCTTCCCAAGTTGTACCAGGATAATTATTCTCTGTAATTCAGTAACAGCCTTTTTCGCGAATCCGAGTAGTTATATATGTGAATCATAGCTACCTTAAACAACGAAGAAAATTTTATACCGTAAAATCAATATCAGTAAATTTGTTTTGCTGTTCAGAGATGTTTACGGTGGAGACAGCCATGTTGAATAATGCTGCACCTTTTTTTATTATTTTAGAGATATTTCGCATAGATGTGCTACGAATCCGTAGGGGGAATGATAATATTGGAAAACAAAGACTTGTAAAGATCAAATTAGTTGTATATGCTCATGTTAATTAATCTATTGTGTTATGCGCGTAATTGGAACTAGTAACTAACACTGTTACCCATGCATTGATGGACCAAGAATTTCAGAAATTTCAGGTGCCGCGCTCTAGGGCGTTGAAATTCCCTTAACTAACATGGGCATGCAGCATCATCCATAACATGGATAGGAAATCTGAATTATTTGAAGAGTAATTTCAAATAAGGCGCATATATATTCACCCACCTCATGCCATCTGATCGCTCCCAGACATCCGAAAATTCTCTTCAAAAATCAAGGACCCAACCGCATGTGACAGGCATAAGTAAGTTTAGTTTGAATTCCGTACTGGAAACTAAACTAGACTAAAGATAAATAAATTTAAACTAAAGATAAAATTTATTTAACTAAAGATAAATTCCTGACCAGTATATTTAGCAACCATATTCATTGTACATGCAAGGAAAACTTCACTTGAATTTTATATCAAATAACATCACTGATAAAGCCGCTAAATCTACATTCCTTTATTATATTGGAGTCTAACGTATCAATTTAAATTCATGCTCCGTGTCTATCACGAATATTGAGTGAATATCGTATTCATGAATTGCTATAACACTCATGTTCATTGTAGAGCGACGTTAAAAAATGAATGAGAAAATAAGAAAATAATTCAATTGTAATTAATGCGAGTGAATGAATTCAATTGTAATCAAGTACGTCATTTCGTTCGTTCGTGCAACAGTCAATGAATTCATTAATATAACTCAGTTTTTCTGGAAATGAATTGACATTAAAGCTTTGCAACCTCAAGTAACATTCAATTAAGTAGCATTCACATAAAACATTAAATTCAATACCTTGAGTAACATTCAATGAGTCCCGAAAATCAAATTTTTTGAAACCTGACTTCCGATGGTACTTATGATTGACGCACCTTTAGGTACCTATATAGGCACCTGTCAATAATTAAGGTGAGTAAATAATTAAGTATTATAATACTTAATTGATCCATATATGTTTGTATTGTACGGCTAGGAAGGATATTTATGGTCGCGAGAGTAATTACTATCGGGATATAATATTTCACATCTACTCAAGTTGACAAATAAGTATATGAGCGCTTTAATCTAAAACTCGTTACGTTTGATCAGATAAAAAATTTTCGTCGTGATTGAACAATATTATGAGAAAAATGGCGTATCAAGTAGATTGTAGATTGTAGATTGTAGACAAAACAATATAGAAACGGTTGGAATTTAACTATACAAAACGGCATGTGAAATAAACGCTGAACACAAGAATTAAATTAAGGAAAAAGCCTCATTTGTTTAAGGATTCTGTCTATGCTCATGCAGCTATGTTGCTGCAACATATACGTATCATGTTCAGTTATGTTGCTTCAACCTATGTCATGTTCTGTTATGTTACTGCAACATGTGTTATGTTCAGTTATGTTGCTTCAACACGTGTCATGTTTAGTTATGTCGCTTCAACATGTGTCATGTTCCGTTATGTTACAGTAACATGCGTCATGTTCCGATTTGTTTCTCCTATATTGCGTACGATTGGTATCTTGAAGTGTTCTTGAACTGATTTGTGGTGTCGAGACGTCCTTGCTTTATATTCCCATACGTTTTGAAGTCTTAGTTCAGAAAACTTGAAACTTTAAACTCAGTGAAAATCAAATTCCTAAATGGCGTAGGGATATGAAACACACATATTTAAGAAAGACGAGTCTACGAAATTTTGTCATCGAAGTTTATAGGCTCAACTCGTGTTAAGAATATAAATCTTATGAATATGAAAATATAAAAGAAGAAAAATTTTTGAGTATTAGTTCTTAAAACTCCTTATAATTATATTTTAGCATAGACCAATTCAACGAAAGCGACAACCCACCATAAAAAAATCTTGTTCAAAAACCTTCATCCAAACACAAACTTTAAAAAGACAGGAAAAGTATGATTTCAGATGCAACAAGAGAGAGCTTACCTTGGTTCATCATTTCTAGTAGGTACTTATGTCGATGTCATTGCAATAAATAACTCTGAAGGATTTGCCTTCAGTTTATCTTATAAAATCTATTCTAACACAAAACTGTATAAAAGTTATCAATCTTCTGATATCAACGTTTAATTCCAAATCACAGTACACGTTCACTATAGTGTCTCTACACTTCACGCTATCAAACCGTACAAGTGTATAACAAAATCAATTCATAACATGCAGCTCAGCAGGATAAAAGAACTAAACTTATATCCTGAGATGAAAGGAACGCGTGGTACCACAACCTCATGCGATCACTGCTACCATGCGACTGAGCGGTGTTACCTGCACGTCTGACCTCCTACCTCAGCCCTGATTATGCGCGGGGCGGAGCCTGCGACCCAACAACACCTGTTGTGGGTGACCTACGGTGCCTCCCAGTCCTCAGACCAAATGCTTTCCGGGCGCTTGTGCGACCATATTTATTAAAATTACTAGAAATTTAAGCAATCTAGTGACTTTTTTATTAAAATTACGCTAAAACCGATTGATCCTAATTGATTTAAAAATAATTCATTGTTTTTAATCAATATCTATTTTGATCATTTGATTTATCACATATACACACACACTCTCTGATACAGTAAAAAATCAATAAATCAAGTATTAAGATGTTACTCTGTTTCATTTTATTAGTGTTGACTTCTCTGATTTTTAAATCTAAATAAAGCGCACTAATATGGCATTGCGTTCACCGGGAAAGCTATGAGACGCGTATAGTGCTGTAAATAAAGAACTGGCAAACTTTGCATGAAGATTTTTTTGCCGTAAATTTCGTGATGTTTGTTTTTTCATCAAATAATACGGGCATACCAACATTTTGAATGAATCATTTTGGATATTCCATTGAACACGAGTATGTTCTTACATAACTATTGTTTTCTCACAATATTTTTATGATATTGTAATTATCATTTAGAATATTCATTATAAAATGGCTGAAATTTTATGGCAGATGCTTTGGAAGCATTTCACTCTAGCTCCTCTCATGGCACCTGCTTAGGGCACCTGTCACTCTAGCTCCTCCCATGGCACCTGCTAGGGCACCTGTCACTCTAGCTCCTCCCATGGCACCTGCATATGGCACCTGTCACTCTAGCTCCTCCTATGGCACCTGCTTATGGCACCTGTCACTCTAGCTCCTCCCTAAGCATCTGGTCAGATGACCTGTCACCTCCTTCAGTAGGATCTGCCCTTATGAAGTCCACTGTCCATTTGGGGTTCTTTTTCCATCTCAGGATTCTTGTCCATCAGAGATCCCTGATCCAAATCTGGCCATCAGTCCTTTAGAAGTTTATTGCAGGATATGAGTTTATTTTCCATATGATATTCACAAGCTGTCAATTACTGGGTCGGTTAAAAGGTGATGGTTAATCACTGATGGTCGATTTTCAATATGCATAAACTTTATCAACGCGAATTGGTCTAAAATGTTTCAATGAATCCGAATTTCATACACATTAACACACATCACCAATAATTACTTACAAAAATCTTGTGCGCAAAAAAACTCTTCCTGTTCGTACAAGTGACCAAAGCACATTCCGTGCCAGTCGTGACTGTCGGGTCGAGTTCAGTTCTCTGATTAACAACGAATAAGTCAACAATTAGACGTTGCGGTCTTGGGTGATAAGCTTCTGTTTCCCACGCCTGGGTTCTGATACTGAGTGTGAAGCGTCAATTACACCTTGAACGATCGTTTCAAATCGCAATAAGTCCAAATAAAGCATTGTTTGTGCTGATTATGAGAATAATGTAGCCGAATTTTTATGTTGCTCTGTTTCGTAGTTTAGTTGAAAGGATCTAACGATCGAACCAGAATTTTAATTTTTTGGTCATTAAGTATAATTCAACGTAATTCAATTCTAAATCTCGAATGGGTCGCTATACTTTTTATGTTTTCAGCGCATTCGCAGCTGATAAAATGTTTTGAAAAACATAATTTAATATTAAATTACCCACTTGATGGCTTTTGTTTACGGCCTCGAATTTCTTTTCTAAAAATTTCACATAGATGTAAATTTTATGTGCCCTGAAGATGCCAAAAATATTTTAATACCTTACAGGGCGCTAATAATTTAATAAAATGTATAGGTGTATTTTATCCACCCATGTATCTTCAACAGGCGATGCAATCTACACATTTTTCCAGCCTCTCGTTGAAAGAGGAAGCGACCTCCGTCCTCACACAGTCACACATTGGCCCACTGATCGGCTGAACGTCGCTTCATTGATTCACGGATTTTTTTCCAACGAAACTAAGAGTGTTACGCAAAAACGTCAAGCGTACGTGCGATCCGTGCCAGCGACTACGATCTTCACTAAAACTTACTCTGGACTTGCACTCTCCTGCCTACCTGAGCTGATCGAACCGCAGCGGTCTTCGGTCTAGCTGCCTGTCAGCTGGTTGGATGGCGCGCCGTGATGCAACATAGCGGGAAAACGGAGAAAAGTGCAATACTGAAACCTCAGCACGCGCGCTTCAAGCTGTGAACATCTCCGCTTAATAAAAAAATTGCTTGTCGTTATATTTAGTTTATTTACTTTGATTAGAGAAAACGCCCACTTCAGTCAACCCAGGAAATGTTGGTTATATTATGGGGTCCATGAACATATAATTCTTCTGGGCTCTTTTTCGCTAGTGCCAGTGCATATTTTGTAAAAACTGTGAAATTAATCTGCATTGTAGACAATAATGGAAAACACTTACTTTCACTTTGGGTGAACATAGAATATATATAAGAAATTATAATATTCATCTCTGTAGATTTATTAACATATTCCCTAAATTGCGACAATATTTACTGCTCTGCATTCATTTCATTAGATTACTGGGAGTTTCTTTTTATTGTAACCGAAGCACTGCGGTGGAGTGCATCGAGCTTACTCGCTGGCTGTGTTCTTCCGCGTTACATCACCATCACACCGCGCATCTCTATTATGCAAAACTCCGTGACTTAGGTGACAGCGGCACTTCTTTTGCCTAATTTTCCTTGTTTGACTGTTTCATAAATGTTAAATCTTCATCGGTTCAGCAATTGAATTAAAATTAAACTGTTTGTTACGAAAGAAAATACTAATTAGCCTGCGCAGCCAATGCATTTATTATGTGCTCCATTTTGATTTGGTTTCAAGTGAATTCACTGTGGCTTCACTTCTAATTAAAAAAAAGGAAAATCGTTTATCAGGATTTGCATTAGCTAGCACTTACTATATGTTTTCAATTAGTTTGTCATTACTTATTGCAATGAGTTATAAAAAACATGTGACGACCATTTGGGCTCTTCATAAAATATAATTCCATATATATTATTAATTTTTCAGTATTCCAACTAGGTGCGTTCTAGCGAGTTTCCTACATTTACCCAAGTTTTCTTTAAACCGGACGCAGAAGAACTTTTACACTAGCCTTCAAATGCGCTGCTGAACGGATCGTCGTCGAAGTACTGCTATTTTACAATACATATTACGTTCCCTATTTGTTCACCAGAAACCTGAATTTGAGTCCTCATCTATTTAACGGCTCGCAAGTGAGAAGATCGAGTTTAGCTCACTTTCAGTCATCACGATGATGTTCCTGGATTTTACAAATATTTTGATCATCTTGATTATCATTCTACCTTTTCTTTACGAATATAGTCCTCGTTTTCGTTTGTATCTAAAGTTTTTTGTTTATTATATGACTGTAATGACAGCTTCCGTTCTTTGCATTCCATTTATTATTTGGAGGCCTGGAAACGTACGCAACACTCTGTGAGTATTTTTGTACTACCTTATATATGTCCAAAATTGTTAATCACTTTGATGCTATATCAAGTTAGGCTTAGTTAGGTGACTTAGGTCAACTTAAGACATAAGTCATTGACTAAAGTGAGTAAAAGCAAACAAGTCTTTTGAGTTCTGATACCGATCCTCTAATGACAATTAACCTCTTTCCAAAATGTTTTCTTATCTCTACAATCGGTCATCTTATCAATGATGAAGTCTAGCACTCTAGCTCTAAGCAAGATGCTGTCTTCAGAAGTTCAGTCAGTTGACAGTTATCACTTGACAGATGAGTGAGATGACAGATCTGCTTACTACTTAGTGCTTAGGCTAGCTAAGCTAGTGCTTATTAATGAGTCAAATGAGCCATCATTTTAACCATAGTCTTGCTGTATTAGGGTCAGGGAAGTTAGAATGCACATTATTGAGATCATGCAATTTTGATGCAAATAAATTGTTCTCTTAGACTCTTGGCTCTTACCTATATTTAGAAGAATGCAGTGAATGCTCTGAGTAGACATTTGCATAGAATCACATTTATTGACAATGGAAAACCTATTCTAAGATTATTAAGATTTGGAATTTTTCAATTTTAAGTGCCTGTAAAGGCTGTAAGTCTGTAACTTCACTAACTTGTGCTATGGGCTGAAAAATACATCTTGTGCTGATATGAAAAGAACTAAATTGCTGATAATTTTAGTTAGATCATGAATTTAAGCCATAATTAAAAAAAAAAAAATTTAGCCAGATACTGTGCCTTTTCCTCAATGTTTTTGTCAAAAAGAAATTAAAGACTTCTATGAAAGGTTGTTGAATTATAGATTCAATATTGATTTTAATTCTGATTTGGAATAGGCCTATTTGGCAGAATTTTCCTAATAGGCTAGCATGAGTTTTTCTGTTGATTCAATAAGTAATTGCAAAAATAAGCTCTTTTTCCATAATTTATATTTTGAAGAAAAATTGAAAGAAGGAAATTAGAAATCACATTTAGAATATTTTGGCAGAAGTAGCCTATCCAAAAATTAAAAGTAAACCCATAGTTACCCAGTGAATTTTGAAAAATCAAAAATACCTAGTAGGTGAAAATCTAATTTTTCTGATTTTTTACCAGAAAAATTGGAAGAAGGCCATAGGATCATGTGAAATTGGTTAGCCTTCTAGGAGTTTTTATGTAATACATGAGTGGCTTCTATCCACTTTCAAAATTTGCAGAGGAATAACTGGAAATGTCTGCAAGCCTGGGTCTTTTGTTTTATTCACAGGTGGCTTCTGCCTGAATTTCAAGATTTTGAATCATATTTAGATAGTTGCTGCCTGCTGGGTATAATAGCAAGTAGGCAATATTTTAGAAACCAGTTCACTTTTAATTCCTTATCTGGTTCAAAAATGTTATTCAGTAGCTATTTATGATAATGTAGGTATCCATAAGACTTCATTGGTCTATTCATGAGACTCAAAAAATAAGTCTTGATAAAGTCTCTCATTTGCTACTAGGCTGTAGAATATATCTACTTGGAAAAGCCATTTCTGTCGATTTCTTACCCAGACGCTCCCCTTAAAGGTGGTGACCTCTGGTGTTCTTCTTGGTGGCAAAAAATACATGATGCATATTGAGGTGACATGACATGGTGTGGTAAATTATTGCACAACAAAAAAATTAATCTAATTAATTAGGCATGGAAAAATTCATTATTTTTTGCATTAGACAGCAGGCCATGGCTGTTATTCCTGTCCAGATGCGAGTTTTGAAAGTATGGCCCCTGGGGCCATACTTTCAAAACTTGCTAAATGAATGCAAGTACTTACGCTCAATTTTCTTATCTATTGGATTTGGACTGGAAAACCGTCAATGATTGGAAGATAAACTTATGATCTCTTAACTTTTTTTGAAAGTATAGGCCCTGGAAGTGACAACTAGGTAGTAAGTTTTTCAGAGTACTAAGGCCTACATCTAGTTTCATGGCCATCATGGCTCATATGCATTTTAACCAATCTCTTATGTATAATAATGCTGGTATCCATAAATTGTTGGTCTACCTATAAAACTCAAAATTGAACTTGAGGTAGTGTCTAAAGACTCTCTACTTTGCCACTGCTGGCTCCAAGTCCTGTATTTTGATTTGATCAGAATAATTGTGGTTAGCAAACATATGTCAATTCATAAAATTTAAAGCTTTTGTATAGAAGTACTTATATCCTCAGTATGCTTAAAGCATTACCTACCTAGTTATCAAGGAATTTAAAAGCAAAGAGAACACCAAGTAAATTCATCATATTGACATTGAAAATGTTTTGGAGTCCAGCCCCATTGTCATTTCGACAATCTAGAAAATGAAAACAATCATCATTTTTCAAAATCAAAAGTCAGACCTTAAAACTTAAAATTTACAAATAAAAGACATATCAACCCTGAAATAGAAAACAAGCATGAAAAAACACTAGAAAATAAAAGCCTAACAATTTAGTAGGTATGGTAAATTACCTGAAAATAGGTAGTTAGTTAGTTTCTAAAATTCAAATTATTAACATACAAAATGACTCTCATACCTATTGCTCACCTCCTCAGTATGTTATGGAATTAGAGTAGAATATATCAATTTAATAATTAATTCCCAAGTTCATGCTATGAAATGTCTTTATTATTTTACTCCATACTTGGTACTATTGTACTGGTCAACTTCTTATACGAATTCAGTTATTTTCGTTATTTATTTAAATTTGTCTTGTTCTATGGCCTGAGTCTTCTTGATGCTGGAATTGTCCTTCCTTTTCTCTTCTTTAGACCAAGAAATACCAAGAATGCCATGTAAGTTTCCTGAGCAATATTTCTACATATTTTCATTGTATACCTATGTGACTTGTCTAAAAAATGACTTTGTGCACATTTTTTCCATAATTTTGTTATAGAAAAACTGGTGTATAATAGTCAATTAAATGCTAGGGTATGTAAAGAATTGTGAGTGAGAGTCAAATGGAAGCTGAATTAAGTCATAACCAATAAAAAAGTCATGATTATCATAGCTTTTTTACTGGAAGGCCTGTGTTGATTTTCATGCAAATTACCATCAACCGGGGCTACTTGGGACAGATTTGATTGTTTTTTTGTTAATAACTGTTAGTAACTTCTTACGATGAAACATTTCATAAACAAATTTAGGCTCATTTTATAGCTCTTTGCGAGGGCTATCAAATGGCATTGTCAAAAAAATTCCATATAGTCAAATGGGGTAAGACAGGATCACAGCCTTCATGGGGTAAGAAAGGACCAGCCCATGGCATGCATTCTAATTGCACTAAATTTAATTTAAAGGAAGAATATGTTAGAGCAATCATTGCATGTCATTTCGGTGTTTGTTTCAACCCTCTTCTGCGACTAATGAATTTCTGGCTAATTTTTAAAGAAAACCTATGTAAAGAAGGGTCACAAAATAGTTAACCCTATTTGGGAAATAAGCTCTGTCTAATGACAAAAAAAATTTTGGCCAGGTTTGTGGATGTAGGCAGGTAAACTCAAGTAATAAACAACTTTTGAGACATACTAGGCATTTCTACCTGCTACCATCACTGCCTGACATGTATTCTAAAATGGGGTAAAAAAGGACCGGACATGGGGTAAGTAAACGTTTTGTTGAAGATCGCGCATAGTTGCGACTTGCGGTCATGTCAAAGTGGTCAGACTGCATTAACGTGTGCTGAACTTACAGTAGAGACAAATTTTATTGTTGCCGTTTGACTGTTTAAGGGTAAAATTAGAGATTTGGGGTAACACGTGCATGGACTTGTAAATGAATTCGCACCTTGAAAATGGCTTTTCATGGTCGAGATATGGAACTCACGGCTCGGTGAAATGGAATCACGGCTTATAGAAATGGAATCACAGCTGGCAAATCCATAGAACCACGGCTCAAAAAATTCAGTCGCGGCTCGCCAAGTAGATATATTCCATGCCTGTAGCTATGGATGATAATATTGGTATCCATAAGACTTCATTGGTCTATTCATGAGACTCAAAAAATAAGTCTTGATAAAGTCTCTCATTTGCTACTAGGCTGTAGAATATATCTACTTTCTGAGCCAAGAAAAGAGCTTTTCTGCCCTTCCTATCTAATTTCCCCTTTAATTTTCAACCAAAGGGCACAATAAAGCTTTAGGTGTAAGTTTCCAAACTTGTTATAAATCTGTCACTTTGGAGCTGTGAAATTTTAGTATTAGGTTGGGAAATTTCATTATTTTATAGACGTGTGCTACAGTACTATGTGCAAAAATTCCTAGGCAAACCATAAAGAGAGGCTTGAGTTGGAGGCTTCCAAAGAGTACCGGTACCTAGTGGGTTGGAATTTGAGGAGGGGAAAAATATAACTGGCTCTGTATCATATATTGCTTTTCAAATATAATTGGAAAAATTTCACATTTCATTGAAATATCTTGGCTCTTAAGTCACAGCTGTAAAATTCCTCTTGTTGAATTATGTACATTTGTTGATGAATTAAAGTCCATAATTGAGCCTGGAGATTTTTAAGTTTGCTAAAATATGTAACTGTTGAGCTTAGAGATTCAAGTTGAAAGTAGAATAGCTTGACACCTCTGTGGATCATTTTTAACCTTCATTTCATTTGCTATGTAGGTATGGTAAATTATCTGAAAATAGGTACGTACCTAGTTAGTTAGTTTCTAAAATTCAAATCATTAACATACAAAATGACTCTCATACCTATTGCTCACCTCCTCAGTATGTAATGAAATTAGAGTAGAATATATCAATTTAATAATTAATTCACAAGTTCATGCTATGAAATGTCTTTATTATTTTACTCCGTACTTGGTACTATTGTACTGGTCAACTTCTTATATGAATTCAGTTATTTTCGTTATTTATTTAAATTTGTCTTGTTCTATGGCCTGAGTCTTCTTGATGCTGGAATTGTCCTTCCTTTTCTCTTCTTTAGTCCAAGGCAAACATACCCTTTGTAGGTATAGTTTTTTGTAAATTCAACAATAGTGCAAAGCTTTAAAGGATCTGTTTACATTGTTTGTCAGAGCCTGCATTGCATACATTTTAATGAGCATGATTTTTTTTGCAGTCTCGCTACCATTCCTCTTCGGGTACTCAACCCTCTGCTGGGGCTGCATTGGGAGGTGAGGGGAGTCGAGCACATAACCCCCGACCGAGCAGCCATTGTGGTGGCCAACCATCAAAGCTCCTTGGATTTTCTAGGTGAATTTTTGTTAGACTAGGCAAAACCTCATTAATAGGAGTAATGTACCTAAGATCTGGATACTTTTTTGTTGGGGAAGGAAATTTTTATCTAGTTTGGAAAAGTATCAATGTACCTACTATGTATGTAACGGTACTATATTTACGTACTCATTTGTGCATTTCTCTGCAGGTTTGTTCTGCTATAAAAAGTTGATCATTCTCCTACTCCATCTATTCCATTGTTATCTAGAAGTGTTCATTGTAATCTGTGTATATCTCTACCTATATCTAGTATATAATGTAGGTATATAATTTCTCAAAAATATAGAGATTTTGATTTCTGATCTTTCCACAGGAATGGTGTACATGTGGCCACTGTTCCAGAAAATGTCAGCTATTGCTAAGAAAGAGATCCTATATGCCATTCCTTTTGGTCCCACTGCCTGGCTGTGTGGCACTCGCTTTATTGACCGCAGCAATCCTGCCAGAGCCAAGCAGTCCATGAATGATGCTATGGAGTATGTTACAGAGCACAAGGTTTGTCATTGTTCCAAATATACGGTAGCCTGCCTTCATTGAAATATAAATTGAAAAAATATTACATACTCCAATAGTATTTAATATTACGATTAGCTAAATGTTAGTGAAAAATGTTAGTGAAGTTAATGTTTTATTTGCTACCAATTTCAATTTCCTAATTTTCAAAATCTTAATTGGCTAAGAGCATATGCAGTACTACAAGCCTTTCTTTCATATCACGATTCAAGCCGTATGGTTTGAATTGATTAGATTTATAGAAGAAAATGGCTATTCCATGTCTGTTGTCATTTGACCAAAGAAAACACTGGAATTAGTACCTAACGGTATATAATTATATAATAGGCTCTCTTCACTCACTTATTATCTTACTAACTTGTAGGTATAGGTAATCCATTTCTTTCAATTGCCTTCTAATTGCAGGTTAAGCTATGGATTTTTCCTGAGGGGACACGCAACACTGAAGATGAATTTTTGCCATTTAAGAAAGGCGCCTTCCATCTCGCTTTGTCTGGCAATCTTCCAATCCTGCCTATTGTTTACTCCTCCTATAAAGGCTTTCTCTCCCACAAGGCTGGTGTCTTCAACCCTGGTAAGATTATCTGTATGTTTTGCATTTCACACTTAACAAGCAACTGTTGAAAATTTTAACTGTGTATTGATCTATGGTCAAGAGTGAGTTTTTAAAAGGTTGCGTACGGTAGGTATTTTTTGTTTATATTGAGCTTTTCATCTACCTACTGTCAGATGAATTTCATAATTGTGAACTTCTTATATGCTGTTGGATGAATTTCGTAATTGAGATACCGTATGGTAACCATTTGTGCTTCAAATGTTGCCTCTGTGTTTACCAAAATCTTTTTTGTTGAATGACTGAAAAACCAAACTATCCAAATTGTGTGAAGTTGCAAACATGATTTTGTGCAGGCAACGTGATCGTAACGTGTCTGCCTGCAATTCCAACGGAAGGCCTGACTATGGACGACATGCCTCGTCTCATGGACGATGTGCGACAGCAAATGATGGCCGTCTTCACTGAAACCTCCAGCCAGGTTAGTGCTTCATCCTGTACATCTTTTTTTTATTGAATCACGGATGGCATCATTTTACTACGTTATAATCGTACCTAATGTTGGTACAATCATAACCCATACAGTTTAAATGTTTAACTAGCCTTTTCAGTTTCTTGTATATCTGTGTAACTGCGTGACATTTAATTTGACCACTAATCTCTGTATGAATTGTTTCATTTATCATCCAGCATTCAATTACCTTTAGCATGAATGTGATCTTATTAAGACTTAATTGATTTTACAGGTAGCAAGAGTAATGTAACGTAGTTTAGTTCTGTCGTTGAAGAAATATGAATTGTCTCGACCTTTTCCAATTATTTTTTTTTTGGGGGATCTACATTACGAAAATGCTTCCACTATTTTAGATTTGACGAAAATTATCATTAAATATGAATAACACAAGTGTTGCTCATATCCTGGTATGTAGTTTAGGTATGTGTGTTAATCCTTGTAATACTACTTCTTTTTCTGTTGAATCGTCACGAATGATTTGTGAAAGATATTTAGTGCTCTTGATTAGGTAATGTATCTCTACATGGATCGTCACTCACTGTTCCCTCCCTCATTGCTTAGATTCATTCCAGAAAAGATCAATTTCATATCTGGAAGTGTTGCTCATATCCTGGTATGTAGTTTAGGTATGTGTGTTAATCCTTATAATACTACTTCTTTTTCTGTTAAATCATCACGAATGATTTGTGAAAGATATTTAGTGCTCTTGATTAGGTAATGTATCTCTACATGGATCGTCACTCACATTGCTTCCCTCCATTGCTTAGATTCATTCCAGAAAAGATCAATTTCATATCTGGAAAGGTTTCTTATATATACCATATATTATGTGAAAATAGGTACTAAGTCAATTTCATTTCTCCACTGAAGGGCAAGAAGTGACATAAGAAGTTCTTCTGTTATGTATATCTATGTAATTTTAAATAGATGCAGGAGTTCAGTTCCATTAAGGCTTCACAATCTTGCAGGTGCAGCAGCCATATCCTATGGAAATCCCGGTTGCTGTGAGGAAAGAAAGTTAAATGCCCTTCAAGCCATCGCTAGCGTGACAGCCTCTACAGCATCTTTATGTACTTCTTGAAGCCAGGCTCACAATTGGGCAAAAAATTTGTTACGGAGCAATTTAAAATTATTACCAGGTCAACAAAACTGGTCTTTCTTTATGAAACAAATTCGTCCTCAACCAATGAACATAATTTATAAGAGCATCTTTCAATGTCCGAATTTCTGAACTTGTCTTTTCATGACGTCATGTACATAAATGCATGCCTAATATTAGCTTGGCGTCTCGAGGCTTCAATTATTATGATATTAGAACTTCCATTTTTCACATTAGAATGAGATATAAAGTAAGGTGAATCATATTTCTTACTTGCGGCCACAAAACGCACTCGAAAATATTATGAAGCGTTTTTAAAAATAATAGGAACTTATTAATAGTAGATCTACTTTTTTCGTGGTGTTATTGATGTTCTCATATTATTGAGGCCTTTCTTGTTTCATTTTTGTTGGGATGCTACTATTTTTCTTAGAATTAGCCTGAAAAGGAATAGTAACGTGGGAAACCAGGAGCAAGTGTACATAGTCTCAGCGTTCAAAGAAAGTGTTAGCTTTTCCTATTGCCGTCTTATTCTAAAGGCTAATGTCTTGAACCGTTGTAGCGTTCATGATCTGCTTCGTGCTCACACTTCTGCTAGACGTGATGAAATTACGCTGTGTGTTCCGATGACATTAATCACTTTGTTACTTAATATGGTATTAAATTTTTGTTGTGAACAGAATGCAGTTTCTAATGTTGATAACATTTCTATGGTAGTGGCGCCTGATGACACAGTTGAACCGCTCTTCAACCTTGAATTCAATCATGTTCTTTGCACTTCTCTCTTCAACAGTATTGTATCAATGCAATAGTCGATTCTCGCGAATTTTAAATGTTCGGTATAGTACTAGTTGCTGCCCCTGCCATAGAAACTGATGCCCCAAGCTCTCTTTCGGGCATCAGTTTCTGCGACTTTGTTGAGATGCATCCATGTTGAACTTCATTTGTCCGCGATGATGGCTGGATTCAAGATACTTTATTAATTTGTCATTCGAATGGAAATTTTTGCCAAAGTGAAAAAAAACATAATCGTGATCATGTAATTTTAGAGCAGATATATTGTGATATGTTTTCGGTTACTCTAAAAATATGAGACAGTTGGTGCGTCAGAAAATCTATTTTTTTTTCTCGAAACTTCATTTAAAATTGCTGAAACAATTTTAAAGCAGCTATGATATTCTTATCGTATGATATTCTGAAATTTCCATGACTTGAGGCAAAAAGCAAAAATTTGTCTTCAAATTTGTGACTGGTGATAATATTAGTGATATTTTTGAAGTTTCCTGAAAATTTGTGAAAATTTATACTATAAATCTATATTGATTGCGGGTATTGCCCATAGCACAGTCATGACAAGCATCATAAGCACTGCTTATTACATCTCAGATAATTTAGTCCCCGTGTTAGAGTTAGCTCTAGTTCGTCTTGTTTTCCTTGATTATTTCCATGATACATAATATGATTCATTCTGTAAAACCTTTTTCAATGCCGAAGAAAAATTTTTCTTTGAATTAGAATTATAAATAATATTTTGGGAAGCAGGTTTACATGTCTGAACAAAATTAATCACGCAAAAGTTTGATTGCAATTTGAACTACCGACAAGCTCATCCGTGCATTGTATGACCTCATCCGTGCATTGTATGACCTCATCCGTAAAAAAACATCAAATTACTTCTAAATTTTCATGTACCAGTTTCGAAGCATGGAGTTGTAAATGTATATAGTACATTTATCTGCAGTTTATTACCTCAACTATATCTGATATTCATGTAAACTAGACAAATATTATACATCTTGTAGCCTGGTAGCTTATTTATACTCAAGTTCTTCCTGTGTGGGAGCACAAAATTATGTTCTTGCAATTCGCAATCAACTTGGTTGCACCTTACCTAGCAAATCTTGGTTTTAGAGTTCCCATTTCCCTTTTTTTTGCTGTGGATAACGCGTTTCATGCAATTTCAGTATCATAGAGTCGATAGCTTAAAGCATGCAATTTCAGTATTTTTGTCTGTTTGAATCGTAGAAAATACTAAATTATTTTGTACATTTTAAAATTTATGGTTTAATAAGTTTGTAGGTGATAAATTAAAATTACAACGAGAAGCGCATTTATCTCTCGGTACGACAGTTAATCTCGTGTTAGGAGGCTAGCTTTCTAGAGGCAGCTTAGCCATAGCAGTTAGTGGTGGCTTCCATGAGGTCTTCGATTATTCTCTTATATTTAACCACACCAGTTTAGGCCTTGATGGATATATATTGCACTTCAGTAGTTAAGTAAACTAAGATACCGTCTCGAGAAATAGTTTTTTAACTAGTCCTGATTTGCTGACTGAATTGCATGATTCAGTACAGAAGCTTCAATGATGGACTTGTGGGAAGCTGAGTTGTAATGCTTGTATGGCTATCAATGATCAAATTCACGTAACGAATACCTGGTATTACGAGAACCGCACAGACAACTTTTAGTCGGTGCAACCAGCGTCACTTTTCAGAGTAAAGTTTTATTATTTTTTGACATTTTTGTTTAGACTGCGACTCTTTCGTCGAGGTGGACTGTTTGAATTTTCGGGAAATTATGTCCATGTTAACTTGTTATGGGTTTGAAACTGGAAACATTAATGAGATTTTCAGCAAGGTGGAGTTGAAATATTAATGTCATAGATAATCTGTGTGCAAGCTAATTGTCACTTTTACTTGTTAATTGATATTCTTTCTACTTTTCTCCTTGATTGTAAATGTGGCGAGTTCCAATTTTTTTTTCGTTGTTTAGATTAGGTGGGCTCGTTTGCCTGCACTTAATTCTCTGTTGTTTCTACTAATTGTACTTCTGAGTTACTTACTAACCCTCTTTCTTTGTTAAGTTTTTAACCTTCTGATGAATGCTCATTCCTGTTAAGCTAAGACTTCTTCTTGAAGGGGATTTTTTCCGCAAAGTAACGTGAAAATTGCTGTATTTGAACGCTTGTTTTTGTTTTCTTGGTTCCATCTGATCTCCTTTATGGAGCCAAAAATGAACGGCCTGGCATTTTCTGATATAACTAAATTCCTTCTCTACCTTCCAGCCACTGGCCGTCTCGAATGCAATTGCTTTAATTTAAGAATAATACAAACGCTTACCGTCGCTATACTGTGCCAATCCGTGTACCACATCTCTTGATATATCAATCAGAAATGCCAACTAAAGTTTTTTAAATGGCTGATGAATCTATTTTTTTTCACGAGGCATTATCTTGCACAAATATATCGCTTCACACAGTTTACTAGAATTATTTTAGTGTTGCTTTCGTGGTTTAATTTTCTTGGGATTAACATGTGGTCTATTTGCATGCTTTAAAGGCATAACGTTCTTTCATATCATCAAACTGCGTGTACCAAACTGATTTTAATTATTAATAAAATTATTTTAATAGAGCAATGTGAATAATGTTCGTGGCATATATTCATTTTAGTTTCAGTCTCTTGAAAAATGTGGTTTGTTGTCGGTTCGTTGTCGTCAATAAGTCAACTCGTACGATGCTAATTTGTATTCCGAGTCGCATTTGTGAAGTTCAGCTGACCTGAGACGTTGCTTCCGTAATTTAGCGAGTTGACCTCTGGTGGCCAACAAAAAAAATCTTGTGGTGTCCTAATTTACCGTCGTAACAAATTTTAGGTACCGGTATGACAATTTATTTGACTACTTTCTAGTCATTTATTCGTCACCTTGCTGGTGTAAAAGGCAGGTCATCTTCTCAAGTAGAAAAATTGTTCATTTCGAGCTAGAATAGGATTTTTTATATAGTCATGTGAAAATAGCCAAAGAAGATTCGTCCAAAGCAATTCGTGTCCCACTTTGTTCGTTATCCTGGATAATTCTGAATTGATGGTACCTAGAATTAATACTTTGATATTTCGAATCATCGATAAAAACGACTGGTCGATAACTTTCGATACAACATCGATAACTTTCACTCGATGTTAAGGGTTGGTTGCAGTGCAGGGAACGTTTGGTTATTTGTGCACAAACTATTATGGACATAGCATCGACCAAGCAGTCCTTGTCAGCGTTATCAGCGCGCACTGAAACTATCGTGAAATAGAATCAAATTAGGCTTCTGATTAAACGAAGCAAGCTTGTCATTTCTTTGAATACTAACCTAATAATGAGCGTTAATAAAATGTAAGGTTCTAGTTCTGTGTGCAGTTCTACTTTCGCGCTTCATTTGTTAATGTTAAGGGTTTTGGTTACTGTTTCTCGTTAATATAAGTGATCATATTATCTATCGTTTCTTCTCTCTGTATCATTTAAGTCGTGTGTTCAATAAATGTTATATTTTTGTATCCAATAAGATATTGTAAATAACCTATTTGGCGAGATAACATTCGTCTCTAAGCCAACTTTGGCCGTTCTCATTTCGCTTTATCAAGAATGAAGTCTTGATATTGTAAGGATTCCTAACCACTTACCTTGATCAGTGCGCAAGCTTAATCATCGTCCTTTTAATCTTGCATCACTTCAAACAGAATTACTTCCCTGGGGCGTATGGTGATTCATTTTACATATACCCACTTGCGATGTGGGAATGTAAAGCTGTACAGTGAGCAAGCTACTTCTGCACATCTCGAACTCTGGTGCTGGTCGACGATTTCCAAATTAATGCATCGAATGTGTGACTTGATGAAGGAAAAGCTTGCTTGCAATCTTCATTTCGAATACGAATGTTGATGCTATGAGACTTGTGGTCTCCGAATCGATGTTGGTGTCACGGAGTCAACATCGGACACTAGTTCGTTTCATTAAATATGCGAAACTCGATCCCGAAAATCACTAGCGATCTAACGAGAGTCTAATCTTTAATAAGTCTTGTACTATTAGGTCTCGATTCTGTTTTGGAACTCGGGTCGTTCACTTTACGTACTTGCAGTATCAAGCTTCCTTCGCATTCTCTACCATGGCTAACTACTTAACTTTAAACTTTCTCGTGTTATTTATGTCACATTCGTGATACACTCCTATATTTATTGCCTAACGGACTGTCGTTCAGAAGTGCATTGTTGCCTTTTCACTTGACCTTGTTCGTTTTGGTCTGAGCTGATCAATATACTTTTCATAACGCTTTAGCGCGTCTCACTAATTTAGGCTGAAGTTTTCCCTTATTGTGTTTAGTTAGTAAATACGTTCTTATCATAATGTCACTCTATTACGAAACTGTCAACAGAATTATAAACATCAATCATGATCGCGGCTAAGCATTGGAAATATTACGGCGACGGTGTATTGATATTTAATTTCGTCTGTCATTGCATGCTTAGTTCACATATTAAATTGCGGATCGGCTTACAGATTTAACTGCGTCGTTATTATCTTGGCGGCTCAGAAAATATCAGACATTGTTAACAATTCTTGCATGCATTCTGTAGAGATATTGAGCTTGTTCTCTGCTCTAGATTGAGAGACATCTTACTCGACTGGAGGTAGTGAAATGAAAACCTTTAAAACATTTGAAAATGTATTAGAGTTACGGACAAGTCATTTGATTTAAATAAAGCATACCAACTACTGAGCACTTTATTTTCTCTCCTTCCTGTGACATCGACCATAGGCGACGATCATCTTAACACTCTACGTTTAAATAAATAAAGTCAGTATTGAGTGCCTGGGGCTGATCTGGTAACGGCTTAATATGTCGGTAGTGACTCGTCGGATGTTCCTAAGTTGCGTTATAGTTTTGGACAGACCAGCAAACATATTTTCCAACCTCTTTACATTGTACATTAAGAGAGTCTAATAAATAATAATATAATAGTACATTAATAATCTAGCAAAAATATGAATACAATCACGAGGGCATTTATTCAACGAAGCCTACATGGTGCATCTGGGAGAACTTTGAACGCTTGCTTTCACTCGTAAGAAGACTAGTTGGGTTTCGCCATGATAGGCAAATGTTGCCTGGACGCCCACCACAGATCTAAAATTATACTCATTCCTATAAATCAGAATCTTTAGGATTATTTAGAACCATCTGCTAAATATTATTTTCATTCTGTCAATTCTATCGGCATCAGGCGACTGGAATTTCACTGCAGCGTTTTGGAGTCTGTTGACATTAAGACCGTGTTATAAAACGATTTAATATTTTAATAATATTTTGGATCCGACTTCTTATTCTGTCACGGCGACTCGAAGAAAATCTCGGCGGTGGCGGTCTCAATGAACTCGACGATAGGCCACGTCAGTCTCACGGCCACGTCTGGAAACGCGCCGATATCTTCCCTGC